CAATGTGTAAATTATTTACTTAGTTCACTTCACATAATTTTGATTTAAAATACAAAAAAAGACAATCATGAAAATTAGCCATATAAATCTGGAGGCATACTGCTTCAAATTCATTTCTATGAAGGAGGCAGACATTAAAAAATTCAAGGAGTGTGAAATATATGAAGGCCTATAAAAATTTCTTTTTTTCTACAATGTTTTGTTCATGTCAATCATGTAAGAGTAGATTAAGGGTTCAAAGGTTGGTTTAAATCTTTAATTAGTAAAGTGTAATTGGAGCAAAACAGAACAGGACATTATCTATATGTGTTTTTTTTTTCATAATAAATTTTAAGCTTATGAATAAGATAACTTCAAGAGATTTCTAAATTTTTGATTTTCAGATAATTTACTACAGATACTGATCCAAACTGTGAATAATTAAGTCACATAACCATACAAGATTATATTCAAGCATCATCTGCTTTCTTAAATATTTCAAGAAATATGCATACAAATTAATATACTGTTCTACCTTCCATTATCTTTACTTCTATGTTATCAATTGCATTAAGGAGTGAATTACTAGGAAGTGTCATCTGGGGACATTATAAATTTTTAATAATAAATTTTAATAGTTACATTTTGAACATACTGAAACTGAAGTTAAAGGTTTAAGAATTATCACATTATTCCCAGGAAAAATACAACAAGAAATAATTTAACTCACAGTTTTTAAAATTTAGATAGATTGGATGGAAACACTTAAATTTATTAGTATAAGTAGCAAATGGTTATGCTTATAAGTTGAATCATTATCCTAACTAAATAAAATGTATCCAATGTAACAATTCTCTAAATGCTGAATGAAATATTAGTACTTACCAATGAAGGGAGGGCTCTGTAATCCAAATTTTAACTGTCCACTTCATTTAACAAAAACAGCGACCATTTATTAATAAGTTCATCACAAATGTTTTTTAAAAATACAACTTACTGGCATGCAGCCCTAAATATGGATCAAATATTTAAAAATATTATAAGAATTAATTAGAATTAAAAAAAAAAAAGAAGAAAAAAAAACATGAACAAATAACTTTAGCTTTCTTACTTAGAAATGAGAAATAAGCAACAAAAAATCTTAATATCCTTAACAAGTGCTTTATGAAATTGTGATAGATGATCACATTAAATCCTTTTTTAAAAAAATACATTATTTCTCAAATAATATAATCTTAATTATTTGAGAAAAAAATATTTTTTTTCTTCAGAAATAAACATTGATATTAATAAAAAAGTAAGAAAAAACCCTACAAACAAAATAGATGTCTTATTCTACAGCATATGAAGTACTTTATGAAATTGTGATTTATGATCTATGGTCACAAGAATTTCAATAAACAAGCGTAAGCCTTAGGCTATAATTCTCAAGTTAACGAGGCCCTTTGAAGTGGTGATATACTGATAATGATCTGTGATTTGATTATTAGTAAAATCTGGGAATCCTGCATCATAATTATATCTATATTATTTCCAAATAAAATATGATCTTTTTTCTAAAAATTATTTTTATAACATTAGTCACAAAATATCAAGTTTTTGTTATCTTTCTCAATAAATAATTAGTACCCACTAAGGCCATTGCTCACTAATTACTCAGCTAACAAGCCCCTTTGGTGTGGTAATGTTAATGGATTATCGATTATAAGTAAAATTACATCTCCTTTTTTAATTCAAATGATATCTCTAGGTGAAATAAATAACAAAAAAGTCAAAATCTAATTTTAAAAATATCTGTAACATAATGAAAATTCACTGTATCCCACTGTAACCTTATGTAACCCTTGTATCCCTGTATCCCTTGTCATGTGGGGGTGAAAAATAATTGTGTTTTTGTGCCATATATGCTCCACGGTACCGGTATATTCACAAATCTCGCGATATTATTGTCATCACCACCTACCGAGTGTTTATATTGACATGCTCCCAGTAATATTGGCTATTTCAAAGTTTTTAAACATTTTCAATAGTTTCTGAAGGAAATATTTCCCATATCCTACCTTATTTTTGTTTTACTATCCTATTTTTCCATTGCATAAATTAGTCCCTCTACAAAACACATTTTTTTTCCAAGAAAATAAAAAAAAATCACAGGTGCTGACGTCATTTAACCTGCATTACATGTCACTTGACCTTTTGACATCATTTTTGGCGGGAAAAAAATAATCTATGGAAAGCCATTAGTGCATATAAAATAGTTTATGAAAATTAAAAAGTCAGTTTCATTCAGTCTTTTAAGGGAGCCTGTGTAAAGTGCCATATCGATATTTTATCTTCATCATATAGATATAAAATTGATTCAATGATACAAAAGGAACAGACAATCACAACAACATTAAAATTAAGTGAAGGGGAATTTTTGAATCCAGCCACATGGTATAATATACACCTGTAATTGGGAGGAAAAGGTTCTAAAACAGAGACCCCTTGGGAGTCATAAAAGATGAACAATAAATTATTGAAACACACGTTTTTATGTTGTTTTTAAGCGTTTTTTTTTCAGATATGAATACAAGAATGCTAAAATGATATATTTGCTATTAAAACTGCAATGGCTTTCTATATAAATAACATTTTACCAGTGCACTCTGTTTAACTACGTCATACAAAATGGTCGACCGTTGTTTACATTCGCAATGAGCGAGAATTTCAGAGTAACAGAACTCTGTAATGTAATTTTAAGAGGATTAAATGTTAATGAAGTTGTTTTTTCCCTCTTTTTTTCAAGTCAGTAAATTTTTATATGAAAAACACCTTGTATAAAATATGTACACCGGTATCGTGGAGACCCGGGCTAAGTAAAAATTATGACAAAATTTAATAATTAAAATAAGTAAGTGAAAATTAGCGAAATATTTTTGTCTTCTTTTGATATTTTAAAGTAATCCTTATCACATGTACAAGCCAAATCTCTGGCATTTACGACAACTCATTCTGGATTCGCCTGCATACTTATACCTAATCTACAAGTCCGGTTATCTCGCCGATTTCTTCTGCACGGATCTTGCAAGATGCCGTTGCCAGCACAGTGTAGACTGTAGACAGTGACTGTTATTAATTTATATCTTTAGGGGAGTAGAGACAGATACATTTTCTCTACTAACTGAATTGGGTCTTTTGATACAATATGAACAAAGGATATTGCCCTCTTACCATAACATTAGAAACGACCATTGCAAATGTTCTCTTGGAAAAGTTGGACTTTCCAAATATTCAACAGAGACAGTGTTTTAAGAATTTTTTTTCAGAGCATCTTGTGACAAGCATCAATTAGGGATTTCATTTGTTGTATGCAATGAAAATATGAATTGAACGATGAGACATGTAAATGCACATATTTTTATACATTTTTATATCCACTAAACAAGTTTACAACTGGTAAATTTTATACTACAAAAATAGTAAGTAATAATTAAGATAGACAGAAAAGAATAAATAATTTTGTAAACATGAGTTACTTCCCCTTAAAATAGAGAAAACCTGAAACCCAAAAGAACACCCTAAACAGCAAAATTATGAAATGTTGCAGGATCAGGTTTATTAAGCCATGCAAAGTAATGGTAAAGTATTCATAAAAAGTTAGATGGCCATGTGACAGCAGTAATTGCAGAAAATCGGATAGCTTTCAACATCCGGATACTGGTACACTTTGTAAAAACAATCATTCTGTGCAATAGATATACGTAATATGGATAAAATCAATAGGATAATCGTTTACAACAGTTCCAATACCAATCTTAATACTCATTTTTACAGGTGAACGTTCTTCTTGTAGGAACATTTTGATTATATATAAATGAATTCGGGTTTTAGTATTGCCAACAAGCTGCAATTTCGTGAAAATAATATCACAATGCACATGCTTTTTACATAATGTTATTAAATACAAATATAACAACATATTAGTTTACTTGATTTTTACGAATCAAAATAAAACTAATTAACACAACATGACATTAACTGCTTATGATAACAGCTCCTTCCATAGGCCGAAATAAAAAGCATTTCATAAGAGACGACGCCGCTCACCGGCGTCGCCAATAAAATCATACATCTGAGTCTTGTACAAATTGAAGCATTACTCGTTTATAAACAGACTAGGGACCCTGGTCCGAATCCTGGAAAATTAAAATTTATAATTCTTTATGCCACGGCCATATTTTGCGTTTGTGCGTGCATATGTTATAGTGAATTTAAAAAATCCTTTTCTTAAAACCCACAAGTCCAATTTCAACGCAACTTGCCATGATTGTTCCTTGGGTGAAGGGTGTCTAAAATTTATCAAAGAATTTTATTCCTGATAAGTTACAGTAAAACATAATATTTTTTAGGAAAATGCTATGTTCAAGGGGAGATAATTCTGAAAATATTGCATTTAGAGTTATGAACCTTAACACATAAAATGTGGTTGATGATATGGAACGTATGTTTGAAGTTGATAACTCAAGAAAAAGTTAAAGAAAAAAACATTTAACTGCACAAAATCTTTAATCTGAAATCTGGACGCGGACGCCTGGCTGAATTGGACAGCTGTCCATATACTTTGAATAGACGAGCTAAAAATTTAATACTACTAAAAGATTGAAACTCGGTTAAATAATCTTGCTGAATCAAGACATGTATCAATGGTTTAGTTGTATATACATGTAGAGGATATTGAATGAGTGTAAGTTCAATACTGAATTTAATGCACTCGTTGAATAAAATTATATTATGCTAGCCTCTGGCGAACATAATATTATTTTATTCAATGAGTGCAATAAATTCAGTAATGAACTTACACGAATTTAATATTCTATTTATCACATACACAATATAAATACCGTTTTTAAAAATTGAAATAAGAGTAATTTTCCATTGACGCACCTATAGTATAACGCTCACATTTAGCGCGTCTTTACATTATATTTGTGTAACGCTAATAACGTCACGTCAAAATATATGCACGGCTGCGCAATAGCATTTTTACGGAGTCTCAAAATCGGCACGGGTGTGTGAAAAATACATTTATGAAAATGATGCAATATTATCTTTTGAGATAAATTCCGTAAATATGTTAGCTAGTAGAATTTGGGTTACATAGATTCCAGTGTCTACAGACAATTGTTCATTTTTGGTAGTTGTCGAACAAAGAAACACTTACAATACAAAAGAATACTTCGTAAATTAGATATTAAATAACACAAGTACCATACAAAAGAGTATTCTTATATATCTCAATTGTCAGTAAAGCAAACCTTTATAATGCAAATAAAGACTAAAGTGAAAATTATAGTATTTAAGGGGCTGTATAGAAGTAATGTTAAGCAAAAACATTGTGTCCATTTAATACTCAAGTTATTGAATATATCACAACTTTATTTTAAATTATCAAAAGACATTTATGCAATCATTCGTATATATATGTATATGTTCAGTATGCTACTGTTCATGCGCATATGCTAGTCACATTCTTGATCGTAAAGGCATATCAATTCTTCATATAACTTTAAACCATCATTTGCATTACACGGGATCTGTAGATTTGGCTTAAGAAGGTATGCCAGTTCATGGAATTCTGCTCTCTCTTTTTGTTTGGGGGTAGCATACATTTCTTGGCAAAGATTTAGTTCAATATCGTCAACACTTTTCCCCATTTCGTATCCACCAAATAATTCTGGAACGTAAAATAATATATCTGGCTTACCAGAAGGAAGTTCGTTTACACTTTTCTGAGGTCGGATATTGTGTAAATTCCAGTGTTTTGCAATACGGTCTAGTTCTGCTTGCAGAACATCCATAAGGCAAAAACGGACACACTCTATATGTATCGGATTAAGTGCATTAAATTTGCCAGTATCTCGCAAATCTTTCAGTTTATTTATCCACCAGTGTATTCCTTGACGTCGCAGGTAGCTCCACCAGGCTTCGATTCGTTGGTTCGAGGTACTTCTCCCAAACATAGGCTCTTGGTTCCAGACATTGAATCATTGTGGTTCCGTCGAAGTAAGGGTTGTAGAAAACTGATGTGTGTGTTTTCAGTGCCACAGTCAGCTCTTACAATACGAGGGACAAGTTTTAAAGTCTTAATCGATTCAATATAATAATCAGCGATGCATTTTGGATCGTTATTACTTGCCCCAACTTCTAACCAGATAATTCTACGACTATACCCGTCTATTGCTGCATGAATACACAAACCAAATTGTTTAAGTTTGTCGTATCCGTCAACGTGCCAAATATAATTTGGGCCTTGTGCACAATATTTCCTTCTAATTAGCCTGTGGGCCTTTCTCAAGCGTACCCCTTCAGGATCTATTTCTCTCATTAACCGCATTACATCATGCCTCTTAACTTTTAATTTATAGTCGTACATTAAACGACGCCACATACTTCTATAGCCGATACAATTTCCACTGTACTGAAGTTCTTTCTCTATCAAATCTTTAATAACGTCATCTTTTGCGGTAAGAACATCTCCTCGGCGGCATAAATTATTCGCCTTCAATATTCGCTTCAAGTGCCGTATGCTGATTTTAATATTGTGTTGAGAAAATAAAAGAAGAACGATTTCAAAGTACTTAAAACCATCCCTGAAATATTCTTTCACCAAGTTTAGTCTAGACTGTTTATTTTGATTCACTGGTGGTGTTTTATGAGGTACAACAGCTCCTGCATGGCTTATCAGAATTGTTGAGAACAGTACAACCCTTGCACCCCAAAGCATTTCCATCTGACCTGCAATTTACAAAAAATGATTGATAAACATAACTACATTAATTATGCTTTTTATTGATATTTTCCCTTTCCATTGTGTAACATCCATAAGTAGCACAAAGGGATCGATACTTGCGCCGAGTTTTGAGTTTTATTTTAACCTTTATTCAACTGATGTTATAAATTCATTATTTAGAACCAGCTGACGTTATTTCTGGCATGCATGAAGGCGCCAGAATGACATCATAAATTATAGAAGTTGTATGAGTTGGTGATAAAATTGGGATAAAATTGATTTATCTATCTCCGATGTAAAAAATACTAAAATAAGACAGAAACGTACGATACTTGAAATAAAAATGCATTCTTCATTATTTTTTGTTTGTTAATTACCATAGTGTCAGGAGGATGTTGAATAGAACAGCCAAATGAGAAAATTGGCAGCGGCATAATATCCGCTTGAAAAAAAAGCCTCAATAATCTCCATTACTTTGCTCTTTGTGGTCATGTTAGAAACAAAATAACATCGATCTGAGCGGTCTTTATCGGCTATTAAACACCTATTTGTCGTTTTGATGCAAAATGTTACCACTCAGGAAAACGGCCTTCCTGGCTAATTTGGTGTTTAATAACCGATAAACACCGCTCAGACCGATTTTATTTCTCAAGTATATACAATGTAAGACCAAAAGTTCTATAGTACCAGCAGTGATCATACTGCTCTATATATGGTAACATGTAACATTTAAGATACACCAGCACATATAGGATTTGATTTAAAAAAAAACAACATTACATACCCTCTGTTACTGGTTTTTGTCTTGTGCTGCGTAACAATGTAACTTTTCACAGAAGTGTACTTTTTGACATCTATTTTGCACCATGTGTTCATTATTTCCCGCCACTGGCAGATAATAAGTTATAGATAATAGGTAATAAGTAATAAGTAATAAATTATAGATAACGGGGTATATGTGCTAAATAATGATTATTGGTTTTAAGTAATAAGTAATAATTATTAAATAATAAATGTCCCTCCAGGGCTTCCGTAGATATTATTTAAACATGATGCATTTAAATAAAATGCAGTTAATATTTTTTCCAAGGAACTATAAATATACTCTATTGTATGGAAGCCCTGGAGGGACATTTTAAATTGATATTTAAAACTTAAAACTTATTATTTAAAATTTAATTCTCAATATTTAAAATTTAATTTTTAATATTTAATACTTAAATCCTATAAAAAAAATGGTGGCGGGAAACCATTTCACTGACAGATTAACGCCACAAGTAGCGGCAGCGAGAATACGAGTAGCGAAGGAAGTAAAGTAATTTGGACTTTATATACAAGAAAAACTGTTTTGAATCACGCTAGGACACGCACATGCACTTACTATCATGGTAAGGACTGGCTTGAGCGGGTTTATTTATTTATTTATTCTTTTGCAAAAGACAATCCGTCCCAGATTGTAGGGGTTAAAGGTCAGAATTAGGCTGAGGGGATTATAAAATAACTTGGAACAATTGTTCACCGCCATGACAAGGTGTGTCGCGCTCAAATGTCAAGGTCATATTCAGCGGTCTTTTTTATACCTACATTGACTCGTCCATTTTTGATGCAGTTCACAGCGTCTGCTATAAAATAAGCATTACAATCAAGCAGGCTGGACATGCTGCCCTTGGGGATTTAGGTACTGTAAATCTTAATTGAAAAGCCTTGATTTTAAGACGAGTGTTTTAGGGCCACCATCATCCTACTAGTACGATCATCGATTTGCATTGGAAATTTACATAACCAGTCTTATAGGTTGTAGTAGTGTGCTTTTATTGTACTCAGTTTGCAAAAACTCTGCCATAGGTTTGGTAAACAAAACTTTACATGTAGATAAAGGGGCAATCTCTACATCTAGCAGATTATGTACTTGAAATATAAAGTTTGCGCTCAATGAAAATAAATTGATTTCCCGATCTGTTGCAGATTGGACCCACTGTCCAAAAACTCTAGACTTTCCAAATTCTGTTGCAGAGTTATGTTGGACCTACTGTCCGCAAACTCTGGGGTCATCACAGTACGCCTCAGTACCTACTGTACTGGTTATAGCGAATGTTGGGCTTCTTGAAAAGTGAAGTTCCCTACTGGAACTGAACACTTTGCCCATTCTTGTAGCAATCCATGTGGAAAATATACTAGTAAATAAATGATCAAATCAAAAGCAGGAGTCAATTTTTATATCCAGAGAATTGTCACTTTAAATCAAATTATGAACAAACAAATTTGGTATTTAATCCATTTCACAAGAGTGATTAAGTAATTGCATTAATGCATTGAACAAGAATAATTAAATCACTCTTAATTATAATAGTAACACATGAATTAAGAAAAAATATCTGCGGCCACTCTGATAGGATACTTTTAGCGTTCTGCTTGGTCATCTGATAAGATCATATGTTCATCTCATTAACCCTAGGTGGCCCAGTGCAGTAGAATGATAAATAAATACAATTTCAAATAAGAATATATGCTGAAAGACACATCATTTTACCACAATTTATCAATTTAGAGGCGTTCTGAAATAAATTGCATCAACCCATTAATTGTACAGCAACAAATTGACTGGTTTACAGTATTGCAACATATTTTAACAGCTGATTTTATCGGTAATGATTGGGAATGTGTAGCTGAAACTTTTAATATAAGTTATAATATTTTCAAAGATTCTATTATTAATGTTTTGAAGGTTATTTAGTTTGACATCAGTTATATGATATGTCCCACTAAGGCCAAAATTGTATGAAATTGATTGTTAATAAAAGCTCTTATATATTTCAGGCAACTGCTGTGAAGAGACAAAGCAGTGCATATGAAATGAAACTGGGATGGCAGAACTACCGAGATGGAAAGTACAGAGTTGATACTGAAGCAAAAGGTGGATAAGCACGAATGATGTATTACACATTTTTGAAAGTCTGGCAGTAGAAAAATAAGAAATCAAGCGCTTAGTTACAATTTCCCGGACGGAGAAAGTAACATGGGTAGTGTGGAGGACTACGACTTCTCATTGGCTTTAGCATCAGGACAAGTGATTGACAATTATACTGATGAAGACTAAAATTCATGCAGTTTCACAGAGTATTTAAGAGCTAACAGTTTGTATGCGTCATAGTGCCATATATGCCCGAGATAAATAAAAAAAGAAGGAGAACAAAACTTTCATGATAAATTGAGTCCCTGTAGAAAAGGGCGACAGAACTATTAACATAAAGTACAGCAAAATTAAGCACTCATTATATTCTTAAGAACAATCTGAAGTATTTGCCAATCAATATTGCGGTATTTTAATGAGTCTGGGAGTCCAGAAAAAGATAATTCATGAATATTATCCGTTTGAAGATGAATATGTGGTTTCTAGAATAGAACTACAGAACACAGTCTTCCCAGAAAGAGATGGAAACGTTTATAATTGTCCAGAAGCTTCATCGTAGCAACATTTTGTATTGAATGGGCCAAATCAAATATTTGGTTATTTGACGATAGTAATTGTTTGGCTCTTGGTAAATCACAATCGTTCATAATAATAATTACATTCATTTAAAAATGGTTGATAAACGAAAATTTATTTTGTAGTGGTATCACTCGTTGTTCTGATTTCATGTGAAATTGTATGCAACTGACATATATTTTGTAGCCCTGTGATAATTATAAACATACAAACTAATTTACAATTATAGATTATGATGTGATTATGATTATTATAATAATGTTTGCTTCTTAAACACTTTTATCAATGTGAAAGATTAGTTTTTGTACATGCCAAATGCTAAAAGCACATTTGTGGCATATGTTTATTTTTAGTGACAGTTCATGTTCTATTAAGTTAAAAAATAATCATTTTGTTGAGTTTGCCTACTTGAGCATTCTGTTCTCACCCACCCACATGGAAAAACTTGCTATGTGTTTAACTTTACCTGAAAACATAAATCGTGTTTATGAATTTCCTTTTATTTTTATGTTGTCTACCCCAGATTGTTATCAATTGGAAGTTGAACCTGAAGCAAATTATTCATTGATGAGTGTAAATACCTTTGATTTTGTACTTTGATTAGTCACTGTAATTAAAGAGTAACAGTTGTTACCTGGGTTTGCTGCCTTATTTTTAAAGTGGACTGTAACCATAATTTTTAACAAGCAACTATAGCCTATCTATACGCCATCAGGAAGGGAAACAATATTATCATCTACACTTT